ATATACTACAAATATATCTATATATTAATAATTGAGGGGTAACCAGAATCAAAAACATTAAACAAGATTAATTTTCACTTAATTTAATCTTGAAATTCACTTATTATCACCAACACACTAAACATCGTGTCATTAAGATTCACTAGGCCCTCAGTTACCATGATACTATATATATATATATATATATATATACATATACGTATATGTATATGTATATGTATATGTATATATTCATGTGTGTGTGTGTGTATATATATATATATATATATATTGTTGATTGTAATGGAAGCGATTTTACATATTACATCAGGTTTAAACAAATAAAAAGTTCCAAATAATAAGAAAATCTAATCAAAATCAGATGATGATCAGAATTAAATCATACCTTTCCTTTGTAAAGTTTGCTTGATTTGCAAAAAGAAAAAAAGAAAAAAAAAGATTGATATTGTGATATATTATGTATATCCATTTGAGTGGAAATAGCTTACATTACTCTCTCTCTCTCTCTCTCTCTCTCTCTATATATATATATATATAAAACAACAAACACAGTCTTTAACCAAGGTTTAGCCTAAAATATGTTAACAAGGCAGGTAACGATAGTTGACCACATTAATCCTCAAATATTAGCAGATTTTAAATTTTAAAAACAATACTGATATAATTACATATACATACTACATATACAAGTCGATGTATTTTATAAATATTGTAAATAAATGCATTAATTGCCTACTAATTACCAAAAAAAATCGCAGTTCTATTTCTCTAACTCAATGTATTCTAATTGCCCGCTATGAACTTCCTGGAACTATTTGAAATCTACGTGAATCACGTGACGATCAACCATTTCAAACTTCCATTTTCGCAACTCTTGGTGCGTTCCAAACGGGATATATCACCCTCCGAAGGGCACTTCGGAGTGAAAACAATCATGGCCGCCATATTGAACTGGCCACTTCAAAGGGCCCTTCGGAATGAAGGATTTACACTTCGGGCCCCCATGATCCTTTGCACAGGGAAGTTGTTTGGCGTCACACAGTTCGACTTCACCTATAAATGTATTTATAGTATTTTTCTATACTACTGTAATTTTTTACAAGTTAGATTTGATACATTATTATGGTCAAAACGACATTGTACTTCAACAAAATACTTTACAGCTACCTTTATCAGTCCATTCAAATGTTTCAAATACATAGACACAATATACATTACAAATACATATTACATTACATTACGTATACAAATATACATCATATTAAATGTAAAAGACGACTGGGGGTCAACGTCGTACAAAATGTATGACGAAGGCGCCTCCTTGATCGTCTCGTTAAGATGACGCAGAAGTGCATTCCAAAAAAATAGTTTTTTTGACCCCTACACCCTTCATCTCTTCGAATCTCTCACTCCGGAGGGTAAACCCTTTGAAGGGATTAGTTCTCAAACCTCTCCATGAAGTACCCCCAGCACTGCACATTTTGTATGTCTCCCTATAGCTGACACACCTACTTCAGGTCTTGCAGTCTCCACTAACGAGCTGATGAGTTGAATCAGGTGTGATAGATGAGGGAGACATACAAAATGTGCAGGGCTGGGGGTACTTCATGGAGAGGTTTGAGAACCACTGGATTAGGGCATAGGGATGAGCCCTTCCGAATGGAACGCAGAGTGAGTTTCTCAATGGTTGCTACCACCGTCATGGAGGCGATGGGGTTCACCTGTTGCTGATCCACTGCCCATTCACCTCAGCTCCACTGATTGGCTGCACCCAGGAGAGAGTCAGCATATAAAGCTAGCACTGCTAGCAAGCTGAGAGGGATGCAGATTGTATCCTGTCACATTAACTTCTTTTCGCTGGTTCCAGATAATGCTATTGTGTTCTGTTACTATCAAGTGCTAACCATTGGTGCTACTGTGGACTTAGTTGAAGACTTGTGAATTTGTTCAGAATTAAAGAATTTTGTAAGGAAACTTGTGGGGAGGTGGGTGCCTTTTTTGTGTTTGAAACTGCTTTTCTCCTGGTTATTTGTGTAGTCAAGGAGATACCCTTACGAAAAAGAAGTTTATTCAAGTTTGCTATTAATATACTTCTTTTAAACTAAAAATAGGAAAGTGTACTTTTAGTCTACTTTTTATGTACTTCTCAGAAATGGGCTTTGTGTACTTCTCAGAAATATACTTAAAATGACATTTAAGTATACTTGACATATTTTAGCTATAATTGTGCTCCTAGAATCCGTGTTTTCATTGTTATACGGTAGGGGGCGCTAGTACACATCTTCTGTACAGAATTTCCAAAAAACACAAGTGAAGAAGAAACCGAAACGGCCAATTTAGTCCCAAGGAGTATTGAAATAGTACACTTACAAGTATACTACTAGTACACTGATATTTGTATACTTACAACATAAAGTATACTTAAAATATACTTGAACTTTACTTAAGTATACTTACTAAAATAAACTTGAAGTATACTACTTTTTGGTAAGGGTAGGGAAGTTCATGTTGTTATTCAGTTTTTTGTTTGTTTATGTATAGGTAAGTTTTATGGTTAAAACAGAGTTAGTTCTGTTCACAGTTCAAAAAGCCGATTAATCGGTTCCTGACGTCATCCAGCAATAACGTCTCTACGCATTTCTTTTCTAACAACAATGCAATGTTGTATCAATGAAAAATTCAAATAATTAATTTGTCAACACATATTGAAACATAATATGTTCTACATGTCTACAGTATAAAGAATGAACAAACCAGTCTTATAAATGCCTTGATTTCGAAGGTCTTCTATACTCTTTGATTCAGTTTGATTTGTGAACCAGCTTGACCGGTTACTTCCTGAGAACCGATTCGTTCAAGCATTTGTTCACCTAACATCACTACTAGTAACTGAGTTAGCCTTTGCTCCCATCATGGTATTTTGCATATGCTGGGTGTTACAGTATTTAATGGTGAGTCTGTGGATTTGGACGAGTGGTGTTGTTAATTCATGAGATCTTGATATCTTTCTCACATGGAGACACAAAGTTCCTGTGATTCTGCTGCTGTCTCAGGTTATCTCGTCCCTCTGAGCGCTGCACATCACAGCAGATGCATACGAGATGATGGATGAAAGACTTCCCTACCTGTCTCCAAGATGGATGGATTTTTTTCCAGTACCTTTTTTAGCATCAACAAGGAGAAAGTTGTGAATGCTGTCCTTTAAAAATCCACAAGTTTTGAGTTTTCATTCATATCTGATGAGTTACAAGCTGAAGTGTGTAGTTTTAGGACACCTGAATGGTTTCAAAGAAAATATATGAAAGATAATCGGTACATTAATATGTACCTCGCAGACCGCCGTAGTGTGACGTGGAGAAAACATGGCAGGTGATATAATTCTAGAAGACGAAGAGGAGAATATTTTATATGATTTACTTATTAACACAGAATGGCCACCCGAAACAGATACGCAGGTTTGTCTAAATATACGCACTTTCTTTGACTAAATGATTATTTGCACCCGATATTAAAATAATACATGTAATTAAGCAGATCAGTTCTGCGCAAGTTATTATAAGCCACGTATCCAAGTTCATCATCATCCAGGGTTTATTTTCTTGGTAATATGATTATGTAATAAATACCATTATGATGACTTGCAACTCCTATATATCCTATATATATATATATATATATATATATATATATATATATATATGACATATATTTTTTACTTACAAGAAAATCTAAACTTACCAAATAGTAAGACCAACAATATATATATATTCCAGGGTTTTATTTTATTCAATTTTTTGGTAGATTTGGTAGATGAAAGGCATCTTAAAAATAGCACAGAAAAAGGCTTTGCATTGATTTGATCATAATGCATCAGAAGACTTTACAGGAAACATACAACAAAGCGGACTAGAACTTAATATTATTAGTTGAAACTATTACTCTGTAATATGTCAAAGGTACAAAGGTTAAAGTATTCTCCAGCATCTCCTCGTTCCTCGTGTGTGTGCATCGTGACAGAACAGCGGACCAAACACTAAGCGGCATCCCTTCCCCGTGTTTAATTGCCGTGTTTTTTGTAAGTTTTTGTTTCCTGGCTTTTCCTCCCTGCGGCGATGGAAATTGCCGCTCGCGTCGCCGCCCTAGCTCGCCTCGATCTCCCCTTCTACGAGTACGCCAGGGAGGAGGCTGCTCCGCCATGGCCTCCAAAACTACCTGATCCGCCATGGCCTCCCGAGTCCCCGGATCCGCCATGGCACCCCGAACGGGTACCGCTCTGGAGGCCCACTGTCCCGTGTCTGTCCTGAGGGACCTCCAGAGTTCCCACCCCCCCTCCCCATTGGATGTTATATGGCGTGAGGACACGCCTTCCGGAGGGGGGCGTTATGTCAGACTCTGTTCCATGTTTTGTGTGTGTCCTGCTCCCCATGTGCCTTCCCATGCCCTTATTTGGTTAGTTTCCTGTTCCTCCCCTGATTAGTGTTTCATTGCTCCCAGGTGTGTCTTGTCATCCCCTCCTCCTGTGTGTATAAATAGTGTTCCCAGTCCCATGTTCTCGGTCCGCTGTTAAACGTCTTCCTGAGTTCGTCTCCCTTGGTTTCTGTAAATAAAGTCTTGGTAAAGTATTCTCCAGCGTCTCCTCGTTCCTTGTGTGTGTGCATCGTGACAATCATAATGCATCAGAAGACTTTACAGGAAACATACTACAAAGCGGACTAGAACTTTATATTATTAGTTGAAACTATTACTCTGTAATATGTCAAAGGTATAAAGGTAGAACTTGCAGTAAATATTGTCAAATGTACAGTACATTAGTTAAGATTTACATAAGATTTGTCATGGCTACAAGGGAAAACAATCAGTTTTGGTCTTGAGTTTAAAATGAAAGTAAAAAATATTTTAATATTTTAAAACCGCAGGCAGCTTTAAGGATGTTTATGTTGAGGATATTATAAGGAAGTATTGAGTGTTTCAAGAGGAACTTTTGTAACTTACAATCAGATTACTCACATTTAGCTTGTTGTTACAGATAAGGCAACATTTCTGTCCACACAATACAGCTCTAATATCCTTAATAGATTTAGTTGATACTGATGTGATCTTTAACCAAAGAAACCATGGAAGAAGATGCAGACAGTGAGGAGGATAATAGCATTAGCGTTGACCACGTTTCTCCATAGAGGTTTCTCAGTGGTGTCTGTGAGTTTCATCTTCAACTCTGCCTCCTGTTCTTTAGTCAGTTTAGGTGCATTGCCTTGATCAAAGCCGCAGAACCAGTTGTAGGCCTTCTTCCAACAGCTTGGATCCTCATGCACCTCTGCAAGGTCAAGAGGCAAGCGGAAACAGTTAATTGTTTTTAAAACTATGTAAGTATGTTTTTAAAGTGCCCCTATTATGTCATTTTACTGACAACTGCTTCTCTAATCTCGGGGAGTTCAACGTGGGATTCACAAAACACTTGCTCTTGAAAGATGGCTCAGTACCCAGTTTATATGGACCAGCTGACTCCACTGAATTACAACCTGTAAGTATGGTATACATAATAGATGTTTATATTTTCTAATGCGTGTTCAAAACATGGAACTATGGCAATGGGAGAAAAATTCCAAAACAATATTAGGAACCTTAAAAATGACATAATAGGGGCACTTTAAAATACATTATGTGTGCAATAATTTACACAAGTAAGGCATGTGCCTGAATCAACATCCTTTGGTTTTCCTAGAACTACAATATAATCAACTAATTACGGCCCTAACCGAGTCTCAGCGTCACAACGGCACACTCACAGTCCATTCACTGAGCCCTGTGATGCTCATTGCACACAAAAATGGAGAGTGCTATCTGATGGTACATATTTGGTGGATCGTGCAGATGTACCTTCTGTTTGCATAGAGTCTGAATCCTGATCTTCAGTCCAGTCATCTTCTTCCAGATCAATCCTCTCCTCAGTGCTGTTCCTCAAACTCCAGCAGAGCCTGTACAGCTGTAAAACAACAAGGGGCCACAGAATGAGGGGCCATGACAGAGAAAATGCTTTTCTATCTAAATCTCTCTCTCTGTCTCTCTCTATATATGTATATATATATCCCTTACTACCATTCAAAATTTTGGGGTTGTTAAATATAGCTATTTTTGAACAGTAGTATATAAAGTTTTCAATTTTAATATTATTCAAAATGTAATTTTTTCCTGTGATTCAAAGCTAAATTTTCACTCATTTTACTCCAGTCTTCAGTGTCACATGATCATTCAGAAGTTATTCTAATATGCTGATTTACCGATTACGAAACATTTACTATTATCAATGTTGAAAACATTTTTTATTTTTGTTGTTTAATATTTTTCTGGAAAGAAATTAACGTTTATTCAGCAAGGACACATTAATTTGATTAAAAGTGAAAGTAAAGACATTTATAATTTTACAAAAACTTCCATTTAAAATAAATTTTGTTCATTGAACTTTCTATTGAACAAAGAATAACAAAATGGTTGTGAAAAAATCTTGGCTTCCACAATCTTGGTTTTCAATATTGAAAATAAGAATCATTATTAATAACTGAGAAATATAGCACCAAGCAGCAATTAATGGGCTAAGCACAAAAGAGCAGAATGAGGAGATAAGCATGGCAGGAGGATCAGACCATTAGTTATTAGTTATTACAGTTAGTAATTAAAGACAATTTTAAGGCTGAAAAATCATAAATTCAGTCACTAGTAATATGATTTCATGGTTTATAAATTTTTACCAAATTGATGTGGTGTGGTCAGTGTGAAGTGGCAATGACACACGTAAAGTTTGGTGTCAGTGGGTCAAAGTTTTGCTGAGATACAGATGAAGTTTGGCACCTTTCCATCAAATTTGTTAATGTGGTAAACAAAAAAACGTTTTGCCTATCAACACGAAATCCATACTTTTTTTTTGCTGGCATGGTCTGAAGATGATTTGGATCGAATTTGGTGAAAATTGGACCAACAATCTAGCAGAAGTTCGAAAAAAGTATGTTTTCAACTTAATCAAAATGGCGGACAGGTAGTTCAGCTGATTATGGCATAATTGGTAGCAATGTTCTCTGAATAATCCAAGCAATCTAACAAGACCAGCCACATGACAAGAGGCAAAACTGTTTAGACGCTATTAGCATTTTTAGAAATGGCATTATTAATGGTTAATGGCTATATATTAATAGTTTATCACTTTTGACCAGTAGGTGTCGCTGTTAGCAATTTTATCTGGTGAGGTCAGTGTTAGGTGACAATGGCACACAGTTTGGTGTCAGTGTGCCAAAGCTTTGTAGAGATACAGCCTCATATGCAGTTTGGCATCATGCCATCAAATTCGTTGACGTAATAAACAAAAATTGTTTTGTCTATTGACACGAAATCCATAACTTTTTGCCAGCATGGTCTGAACATGATCCGAGTCGAATTTGGTGAAAATCGGACAAGCGGTCTAGAAGGAGTTCGAAAAAGCAGGTTTTCAAAGAAAATCAAAATGGCGGACAAGAAGTTCAGTTGATTATGGCATAATTGGTATCGATGTTCTCGGCAAGATCCAAGGAATCTATCAAAACCAGTCTCATGATAATAGGCTAAACTAATCAAAAGCTATTAGCATTTTTTGAATTTTCATTCATAATTATTGACCACAAGGTGGAGCTGCCACAAAACTTTTTGAGTACCTTCAGGGCTGTCCTCTATCTGTGTTTTCAATTTCATAAATTTCCCGCAAGTGGTTCTATGGGTTATCATAGACACCCAAAGCAGAAGAAGAAGAAGAAGAAGAACGCCAACAGATATAATATGCCTAAGCACCTTCGGTCCCTAATAAGTGAGCATTAAATCAATCAATATAGAATGATTTCTGAAGGATCATGTGACACTGAAGATTGGAGTAATGATGCTGAAAATTCAGCTTTGCTTCACAGGAATAAATTACATCTTAAAATATATATTCAGATAGAAACGAGTTACTTTAAACTATATTACTGTTTTTACTGTATTTTTGATCAAATGCAGTCTTGAGCATAAGAGACTCCTTTCAAAAACATAAAAAAATCATAAGTATTCTGAACTTTATAGTTTAGTTGTAAGAAGAGCTTACATGTTTGTCATCAATGGGTTTGGTCATGAGGGAGATGCCCAGTATCAATATACAGGACAGGCTGAAGAGGATGAGGGCGAAATAGAGGTAGTGCACACCACAGATGATCGTGGGACAGTTACTGGGACTCACGCAGCTGCCTGTGTCGTAGGCAAACTCAGTTATCATACGTGCCAGACCCACCAACAGACCAATACACAACCCATAGAAAGCACCCTGTGAGGACACATCAACAACATACGTCAACAGACAGAAAACTAGATGAGTAAAATCTGATGACAAACTTGATGTTGACTTGACAAAGCAGGTCTGGACGTTTAAAATAACTTTGAAAAGCTTGAAGTTTGAAAATTTTGGCATCTTGAGTTTTCCAAGATGTCACAATATTGTGCAGCCTCTGGTTGTAAAAACCTCTGAGACTTAAATTCCCAAAGAAATGGGATAACATTTCACAGGTGAGAATGTGTTGGTTTGTGTTTTTATAACTCAATATTACAGGTTTTTAAACTATGGTAGCTTTTTGATGTGTTAGCTAATGCTTTCGTCTTCTTATATTGTAGTTTAGCAAAATCATCTGCTGAAGTCTACTGCAGATGTAGATATTCATACATGCATGTAACTTTGGTTGCAGACAGACAAACTTGCTCTCGAACTGGCGGACGGCTTACATGGGTCATAGTATCAGCCATTAATGAGGTATCTATGAATATATGATCTATGATTTTAAAGAGTTGCAAGCATGTTTTAGCACATTGTTAACTTATTTCAGCATGTTGATAGCATGTCTCTAGCATGTTTTAGCATGTTGCTAGCATGTTTTAACACACTGTTAGCGTGTTTTAGCACATTGTCAAGCCAACATAATAATCTGCAGCCAAATTTAGATGTTTTTTTTGTTAAAAAAACATAAAAAAAAGTATATTTAATACAATTTTAAAACTTCAAACTAGCAAAAATTACTACATTGAAATGTAATTTAACTCACTGGTTCATTAACTCGCTTGCAAAAAATGGCGAGGATGAAGACAGCGGCGATAGGTGGAGCCAGATAACTGGTGATGGACTGAGTGTATTCGAAGAGCTGCCCGCTCTGAGCCGACTGAACGATGGGGATCCACGCGATACTCACGCCAATCAGAAACAGCATGAACACCCTAAACACATGAACACAAGCCTCTCAGAGCCTATTCATCTCAGTTTCTGCTCACAAAATAAGAAAATCAATATCCAACACAAACAAGCAGACACGCGAACACACCTCCCAGCGATCATGAGCTCCTTTTCCTTGGCTTTGGGGCGGATCTTGGTGTAAATGTCTATGGTGAAGAGTGTGCTGGAGCTGTTAAAGATGGAAGTGAGTGAACTCATCAGAGAGGCCAGCATGACGGACAACATCAACCCTCTGAGACCTTCGTAAACACACACAGCAATTTAGAGCCATATCACCAGACAGATCTATCAAAGCAGTCTATTAGAGATGTAAGAGACAGAAATAGATATATCAGATTATTCTTTACCGTTTGGCATCAGATCCACCACTAGTTTTGGATAAGCAATATTACTGCAGCCCACACTGGCTCCACAGTAGTAGTCACACTCTGCTGGATCCACGCATGCAATCTCATCTGACACAAACAAGAGGATAACCACAAACATTAGTTTCTTTAATAGTCTTTGACAATTCAATGACCTTCTGATGCATATTGCATACAAAAATGTCACAAAGTTGGTGTGCATTACCTTCGGATTGTCAGAATTACTTATCACAAGTCCACATAACTTTTACATATACCACTGTAATTGTTATACAGTCATGAATTTGAGATTTACCCTCCCTGAAATGTCATTTGAAACCAGTGTTATTTTAGTATTATTTCAGTATTATTGGTATTAGAGTATTTATTAGCATTTTAAATAAACTTTAATTTTTATATTTACATTTTTCATTTTTATTTTAATGTTTGTCATTTTTATTATAATGTTTAATGTCCCATATGCAGAACTGATATTTAATTATTATTAAGTCTGCTGTTCAACACAATTTAAAAATATAATTGTTTATCAGAAGAATAAAAACATTATTATTATTATTATTATTATTAAGGTGCACAATTAATACATTAATTAAATGAATTAATAATATTAAATAACTAATTAAAACATGGGAATTAATATTATTTTAGTATACTATTTATAGTATTTATTAACATTATGAATTGGCTTTTATTTTTATATTTTCGTTTTAATTTTAGTTTAACTTTTTGTCTTTTTGTCATGTGCTTTTGCCATTTTTAAATTTTTATTTAGCTTTATTTTCAAATTCAGTATTTTTTAATAATTTTAGTATTTTAACTTAAACTTATTTGTAATTTTCATTTCTATTTTTTAAGTTTAAGTTTTTATTTAATTTTATTAATTTAAGATTTAATTGAATTTTTTAGTTGTGTTTGATTTCATATTATTTCAGCTTTATTCCAATATACCAATTTTTTTTTAATAGATTCAGTTGTAGTTAACAATAACAACATTGCTTCAAACAAAACTGCGGATGGTTGCTTAAAGTGTAAATCAGACTCTCTACCTGCCTAAGTAGGTAGGTGTTTGCTAAAATAAGTTGCTAGCGTATTCTATGATAATATATAAGATAAGTGGACCAGACTTTATGCAAAACTCCAGTTCTCTGAGACTATGTTCACCGTATATCACTCAGATCACTCAGTTAAGATTTAGTCAAAATATTTGTTGACATGTACAAAATGGTTAATCAGTTTATCACCCTTCTCACCCAGAATGGTGCCAGTCTTTCTTACCTGTGTACAGCACTCGGCTGATCATGCCAGGGAAAACCATGAGGAACATTGGCAGAAGTTTGAGGTAACCACACAGGATGCAGCCCGCTTTCACATGAGACAGGCTCTTGGCAGACAGACAGCGCTGCACAATCACCTAAAACAAGATGGAGAGTTTATATGAAGTTTACACAGTTTAAGTGTAGTGAGAGTTGTAAGTGTAGTGAGAGTTGTCCTGTGTGCTTCGACTGTGATCTTCGAGAGCAAAATTCTTATAAAAGAGCAATTTCTCTAAAAGAGAATTCATAGTCGGATTGTGTATTACACACCATGCCTTTCCGTCCATGACCTTCTGGTTGCAGTTGCAGTACATCTCACCCTCAGACAGGCAACAATTGCTTTGCACAGTGTTTGGGCCACGCCCATGCTGAAACAGCTTTTTAGGATGGTTTACGTTCTACTTGTGAGGACATGGCTATCGGGCACGTTGCTCTCATGCTCGCATTCTTTTGATGTGCACTAAAGAAGAGCAAGGAGATGTTGCGGGAGCAGTTCTGCCAGATGATTTCCTATGAACCTCTCATTCTTCCCACCGCACGTGCTCTCCAGTTGAGTTTCTGAATGAGTTTGAGAACCTGCAGGTTCGATCTTTCATTCGGGGCTCGCGATGAGGATAAGTTATCTATTGCAGCATCTGAGGGCGGGTCTGACCGATCAGAAGTGAATGACTCGACTAAACCGGCAATTCCAGGTGCTGTGTGTCAGTCTGAGCCTGACGCCAAGATGGCAGCCTTCCTTACCTGGGCAGCAGAGAGCATCAGGCTTGAATGGACTTCTCCACCCTGTCCTGAGCGCTCTTGACCGGATGATTGGTTCTTGGAGACCAAGCATAACACTCAGCCGTGCTCCGCCCCAGATCCTTTCTTCCTGGAAGTGCACGAGGAGCTGATGAAATTGTGGTAGGCATCTTTTTCTGCCAGAACACGATACACCAGCTCCTCCATTCTCACCGCCCTCATTGGGGGTCCAGCGGGGGGGTTCATGGTGGTCCCCCATGTGGAGAATGCTATTGCGGAGCATTTTTGCCCACAAACTGCCACCACCTGGGACTCCCGTCCAGGGCGTGTAAGTTTACTTCATTTCTTGTGGCGAGAGCTTATAATGCTTCTGGACAAGCTTCGTTTTCACAATGGCCAGGTACTGAACTTAGGCATCAAAGCCTGTTCAGACACAGATACACTGCTCACGTATTGATGCGCCAGGTCTGTTGCCAAGTCAGAAGGACGAACCTCTGCAAACTCAGGTTCCTGTATGTGTCAGTGGTTTATTCAATAGACCTGAGGAGCAAGGTTGGTGTTGCTCATCCATCACCATGCGTCATGAGGGACATGATGTCTTTCGGCATGGCGAGCCTTGCTCCACAATGCTGCAGGAACCTTGCCTCAGGTACATCAAATGTAGTTCCACTGAGGACATTGGCATGGTGTCTGGATGCTTGGTGCCAGCCTGCCCTATTGGCTTTTCAGGACCATTCGACCCAATTGCGATTAAGTTTGCAAGGCACCTGCCCAGGTTCTGTAGCGTTCTTTTTAGTTCACTATGAGGAAAGAGTGCTGCTGTCCTTTGGGTGGACATCACCGTCCTTCTAGCGAAGGATGCAATAGAGACGGTCCCCCTAGCTGAGGTGGAGAAGGGGTTTTACAGCCACTACTTTATTGTACCCAAGAAGGGTGGAGGGTTCAGATCGATCCTGGATTTTAGGGTACTGAATTGGGCCCTTCACAGTATGGATGTTCCCAAATAGTGAATACGTATTCGGAAAGGCATGAAGAATGAATAACGCGCTCTGCAGAGCCACTAAAGGTAACAGGCTAGCGGTAGCCTGTTACATTACAGTACATAAAATTTCACTTACCACATAAACAAGAGTTAGGACTGATAGGATGATGGCGAATGATTTGCAGATCCTGAGCACCACTGACAAACATCTAATATTGTAATATGTGTGGTAAGTACTGCCGCTCCATAGTATACACAGAGTACATGTGATCGTGAATCTCAAAAATGAAAGTAAAAAGTAAGCATGCATTCAAAAGCAATTTCGATGCCTCGCATATTAATAGCGGCTCCCTGATGCTCGCAATTTATATACAGAATAATTACCCAATTACACGTCATTTCCTTTCCGAACACGGTATTTGGATTCGGGAACATTCCCTACTTCACAGTCTCCCGTTCAAGATGTATGTGACATGAATAAACGTGTTTATGTCTCCATGCATCTTTTAAAGCTTAAATATTCATCTTTTTGAATGAATATTTCAATAATGTAATTGTAATTGTAATTGTAATTGTAAAAAATTTATTGTTTTAATGTGTCCAAAAACATTTAATTGGACAATGTGTCCAATTAAAAAAAATAGGGCAGCCAAACATGGGAGTCTGAAATGGATAAACGTATGGGCTATGAGTCTTGCTAATGGGCTGTTGAACTACAGTTTGATTAAGGAGACATGCAAAACGTGCAGTGTTGGGGTGCCTCCAGGACCAGGGTTGGGAACCACTGATATAAAGTACCGCCGCTCCCTATACGCAGAGTACGCAGTTTGCGTACAGGGCACCAACTCCCATCGCAGTTGCTCAAAAAAAAAAAAACTTTCGTTCTATATTAATGTTAACATATACATATACATTACATAAATAAAAATATAAACACGAACATATATTAACATAATTATATAAAAAAAGCGTTTTACGGTGAACGTAGTAGACAGGCAAAGCACGTGACCGTTGTCGCTCTCATCTCATGTTTGCGGCTGACTGCAAATGATCATAACTGATGGACAACTATGCCCGGGAAAAAACATCAGTAGTCTGGCGCCGAGAAAAAGAAAAAAAAAGCCCAAGATGAAGCCCATGCATCACTTTTAGGTACGTTCATAATCCTGTGAAACTTTTTTGGATGTTGACGTTAACAACGTGTTTTAATGTCGGTAATAATATCACCGCCGCATCTGCCTTGATATTCTCTCAGATTTTCCATGTTCCCTTACGAAAATGAACCATAATTTTACTACGAAAAAAAAAAAAAACATGGTTCTTGTAGCAGTGGTAACCACAAATTAACCATGGTTTTGATACTTCAAATCACTTCAAATGATAATTTACGAAGTATTCAGATAATATTTTGGTGGTAATAAAAACAGACCTAAGCGAGCAACAACCTTTAAAATGACATAAAATGCATTATATAAAAACAATGAGGCAATAATGATTGGTTAATTAATAATAATCGTATGGTTTCATTGAATAACACTGTTAAAATACATAATGTAATAGCCTACAAAATAAACAATTTATGTACATTACATATTATTACAAATGCCTGTAAATTAATGGAGTTAAGTGCTGAAATTTCATGAAATCATTATCCAGAAGTTACAACATTTTTATATGAATTTAAATAGAAATAATTGCAGTAGATGTGCTGCTTTCAAACAATTTTCCTGAGGTATGCTGTGTTTTAATATTTTCACCACAGCAATGATTGCTTGACACATGTCAATTCCGCGTTGAATTGTGTTCTAAATAGCAAAACTAAATATTTTTGTGCAAATAATTATTGGAGGTGAACTTGACTTCGTCTGATGGCTTTGGAACATAGACGGTAATGATATAAGGACACGCTCGTTGATCGAACAGTCCATTGGCAGGTTTGATAAGATCCGATGATAGTATTGTAGAACCTCTGCATGCAGGTGTCATGCACAGACAGATAGTAGCCTAATGATAACCCCTTTCATGCTCTTCCCAATATTGTGACAAACACCATTGTTAAACATGGTGTCACGTGGATGGAATATACATGGAAATGATATGCAGATAACATTATGCATAGTAAAACTAGGCTGTTGTAAGCTCCATATATGGTTATTTCGGGGAGCAGACGGGTAGGAGATGCATGTACGCACAATCTTCTGCTGACTGGGTATTACAAAGGGAATTTTGCGCAGTTTCTGGTGTACGTAAGGTTTTATAAATCTGAAAACTTTTGTGCATGCGCAAAATCTAGCTTTTGTGCATAGGTACACTTTTAGGATTAAATCTACAAAAAAGTTGTATAAATTAGACCCCTGCTCTTTAATAATGATATTAAAACATTAGCACAAAAACATTATTTATACATTGCTCATGGAACTACTTTCAGGAATGTTTCAGTTGGATGCTCATCTAAAATGTTTTAAATGTTACTACTCGTTACTACTACAGTTTTATGCAAAAGTTTGGGAATCCCTCTGAGGCTGCACAATAATGTGCTCTTTCTTTATAAGAAAATATCTTAGTGATATGCCATTCAGGTTCTGGAGAAAGCTGGATAATGTGATGTTTTTCCCTTATGAAAATTAACCATGGTTTTATTGTAGTAAAAGTGTAGTAACCATGTTTTTTTGGCGTATTGATTACCGTTTGTATAACCACAGTTTTACTATAAATATCATGGTTAAACTATGGTTAGTGTAGCAAAATCATGGTTAATATATTCTTGGTGTAGCAGTATTGAGTTGTATGAAATAAAATGGAAAGTGAAAAATAGGCTGTGCAAAAGTTTGGGCACCCTCTCAGTTGTGTGGATTTACCTGTAGTCAATTCATGTTAATTGATTGCAACACAAAATTAATTTGATTTACTCAGTAAACCTTAGCACTGCAAACACAGGTGAAACCAATCATGAAAAATGATATTTAAGGTAGCTGATTGCTAGCTGTGCTTCTCCTTGATCTCTACAGGAAAGTAACAACATGGGAACCTCAAAAGAACTCCCTAATGACCTAAAAACTAGGATAATTCGTCAATATGAATTAGGGAGACGGATACAAAAAGTTATCACAAAGGTTTAAAGCAGGGGTGGCCAACGTCGGTGCTGGAGAGCCACAGTCCTGCAGAGTACAGCTCCAACCCTAATCAAACACATCTGAACAAGCTAAACAAGGTCTAAAGATTACTAGAAAGCTACAGGCAGGTGAGTTTTTATTAAGGTTGGAGCAAAACTCTGCAGGACCGTGGCTCTGATGGAGGACTGATGTTGGCCACCCCAGATTTAAAGTCTCTGTCTCCACAGTCAGAAATATAGTTAGAAAATGGAAGGCCAAAGAAACAGTCCTTGTGAAGGAAAGATGTGGTAGACCAAGAAAGGCAAAGGCAAAGAATTGTTAGAATGGTCACAGACCACCTCCAAAGAGCTCCAAGAACATCTTGCTGCTGATAATGTCATTGTACATCGTTCCACAGTCCAGAGTCCTTGCACAAGGTACAGCTCAATGGAAGGGTGATGCGAAAAACGACTTTTCTGCATACTGCCAACAAGCAGAGTCGTGTGAGTTATGCAAAGGCTCATCTGGACAAGCCTGAATTATTTTGGAAAAATATCCTGCGGAGAGCTGAAACTGAGAGTTTTGGTCACAAGCAGAGGCGCTTTGCATGGCGGAAAAAGAACACAATGTTCCAGCAGAAGAACCTGATCCCTACTGTAAAATTTGGTGGAGGATCCATCATGAACTGCCAAAATACAGACAGCACATTACATTGCTTACCAGAGACAGTAATATATTGGACCACTGCTACACTACAATAAAGAATGCATATCACTCTGTCAAAAGGGCAGCTTTGAGGCTTTCTCATTACTGTTTGGTTCATCTTATACCGACCTACTGGCAGAAACTGAAATCAGCTAAAAAGATGGACTAATGAAACAGAGTGAGATTTACAAGCCTGCTTCGACCGCACTGATTGGAGTGTTTTTGAAGCAGCTGCCACTGATCTGGATGAGCTCACAGAGACTGTAACATCATACATCAGTTTCTGTGAGGATATGTGCAATCCTACCAGGACTTATTTAACATACAACAATGACAAAGAATGGTTCACAGCAAAACTCAGACAGCTTCGGCAGGCCAAAGAGGATGCCTACAGGAGTGGGGACAGAATATTGTACAATCAGGCCGGGAACACACTGACAAAAAAATCAGAGTGGCTAGAGAAGCTACTCTAAAAAGCTGGAAAACCAGTTTTCAGCAAACGACTCTGCTTCAGTGTGGAAAGGCCTGAAAGACATCATAAACTACAAGACACCATCCCCCAGCACTGAGGCGAATCAACAACTTGCTGAATACCTGAATGAGTTTTGCTGCAGATTTGCAACTCCCGGTCTCACACCCCACACCCGCTCTGACCATCTCTCTACACAACCATTAACACCTCTAGCAACCCCCCTCTCCCCCCTCCTGCACTTCAGATCAGTGAAGATGATGTGCATCAGATCTTAAGGAAACAGAAGAGAAGAAAAGCATCAGGCCCAGACGGTGTTTCACCAGCCTGTCTGAAAACCTGTGCTTTCCAGCTGGCTTCCATATTTTTGCAGATCTTCAACAGATCACTGGAGCTGTGCAAAGTCCCTGCCTGCTTCAAATGCTCCACCATGATCCCCATCCCAAAGAAACCCAAAATCACAGGACTTAATGATTACAGACTTGCTGCCCTAACATCTGTGGTCATGAAGTTGTTTGAGAGACTGGTGTTGGCTTATCTGAAGGACATCACTGAACCCCCTGAAGTTTGCTTACCGAGCAAACAGGTCTGTGGATGATGCAGTCAACATGGGACTGCATTATATCCTACAACATCTAGACAAACCAGGGACTTATGTGAGGATCCTGTTTGTAGACTTCAGTTCGGATTTCAATACAATTACCCAGCACTCCTCCAGACTAGGGATGTCAATTTTCGATCATTTCCATGATCGATCGTCGTTTAAATTAACGATCAATTAATCGATTAATCGTTAACTTTAATGCAGCAAAATGCGTCTATTGCAGCAGCACGCAGTCACCGGCATGACAGGATGTGCAAAAGCCACTCAAAAAAAAAAAACTCCGGGAAAACGTATAGTCAGTGTCGGTCACAGCGCCTTTTAATTGCTGTTTTGAATCCAGCAATTATTTATTTACAGATTATAAGATCTTATTATGACAAGTGTGGTATAAAAGCTTTGTTTATTAGAGGAATATTTGGTTAACTGGAAAATCTTACATCGCGACCATGCTTTTGGATGCCGTTCGAGCCCATATAGTCTACATTTTTGCGGCTTTGTTCTTGGTCACGAATTTCCAATTAATGTACTTTTAAAGTTTAAATCACATTAAAAGCTTAATTTGTAATTATGAGTGAATGATGATGCATTTATATACCGTCGCCGTCACTCACAGTCGCTCGCACGTGTTTTGCGCATGAGCCGCACGCAGCCCAAAATTAAACGACTTAATCGACCATCGATAGCTTTAATCGATTGCATCTCTTATCGACAATTAATCGATCATCGATTAATCGTTGACATCCCTACTCCAGACCGAACTAACCCAGCTTTCTGTTCCTAGCTCTATCTGTCAATGGATCACCAGCTTTCTGACAGATAGGCAACAGCTAGTGAAACTGGGGAAAACCATGTCAAACAGCTGCACCGTCAGCATTGGCACCTCGCCCCACTGCTCTTCTCCCTCTACGCCAACGACTGCACTTCTACTGACCCCTCTGTCAAGCTACTGAAGTTTGCAGACAACAATACAGTCATTGGCCTCATCCAGGACGATGATTATTCTGCATTATAGAAGTAAGGTTGAGCAGCTGGCTGTCTGGTGCAGTCTTAACAACCTGGAGCAGAACAAGCTCAAAACAGTGGAGATGATTGTGGACTTCAGGAGAAACCCCCCTGCACTCCCCCCACTCGCCATCATGAACAGCACTGTGGTTGCAGTAGAGTCATTCAGGTTCCTGGGCACCACCATCTCTCAGGACCTGAAGTGGGACAATCACATTGACTCCATTGTTAAAAAGGCCCAACAGAGATTGTACTTCCCCTCCAGCTGAGGAAGTTCAACCTGCCACAGGAGCTGCTGATACAGTTCTACTCTCTAGTCATTGAATCTGTCTTGTGCACTTCAATAACTGTATGGTTTGGCTCAGCTACAGAATCAGATACCAGAATACTACAGAGGACGGTTCAGACTGCTGAAATGATTATTGGTGCTCCCCTGCCTAACCTTCAAGAACTGTTTATATCCAGATCACTCTGAATCCCTAAAATCCAAGCCATCTCCTTTTTGAACTTTTACCATCTGGCCAGTGCTATAGAGCACCGAACACAAGGACTGCCAGGCATGAGAGAAGTTTCTTCCCCAGGCAATCTACCTCATGAACAGTTAAATGTTCTCTCACATACTGTTCAATAAAAAGATGTGCAATACCACATTTGTTTACTCAATACTACCCTACATCTTATTCCATTCCTTTGTTGAGGGTGCATGGATTCCACCCAGTGTATGCAGATTCTTAAGAACAATGTTTGAGATTGAAGTTACGCCAGGGTTGGTTGTTTCAGCAGGAAAATGACACAAAGCACTGTTCCAAATCTAGCAAGGAATTCATGCACAAACACAGATACAATGTTCTAGAATGGCCATCCCAGTCCCCAGACTTCATCAAAAATCTATGGATTGATTTGAAGCAGGCTGTCTACGCTCGGCAGCAATCAAACCTGACTGAACAAGGCAAATTTTGCATGCAGCAATCAAACCTGACTGAACAAGGCAAATTTTGCATGGAAGCATGGTCCAAAATACCTGCAGCCAGAATTCAGGGACTTATCAGTGGCTATAAGAAGCATCTACAGGCTGTTGTTTCAGCAAAAGGTGGCTCCACTAAATACTGATGTCATTATTAAATTGGGGTTATCAAACAATTGCACCTGTCTGGTTTTGTAATGATTCATATTGCATTGAATCTGTTGATTCAATAAATGTTATTTCAGAACTGAAATGTTACTGTTTCCAAACGGTATAAATTATATACAAATGAAGTTGCTACTTCGAAAGCCCAGCAGATTATACATTGAAATTATGATAATTATCAGGGGTGCCCAAATTTTTGCATAAAACTTTATACTTAAGTTCCATTGTTTCCTCAGTTTATTGTCAGTTGTTGTTTGTGTATTGTGCACCCTTTTGTGTTGATTTGGATTACACTGCGTTTATTCTTTGATTAAATACCTTCATGTTGGACCTTTGACTCATCTCCATATTTTGAACTTTGAAATTGTGACATTAACATTCAGAGAACATTCAGAAATAACATTTTCAAAACTTAATGGAAACGTTCACAAAATCTTTAGAATACAGTTTGCTGGGTAGAAAGTGTTACTGAACAAATATCAAGAACAATAACTATTGACAATTATAACGATAACTATATTAGCGTCCACACCAATGCACGTTAGTGTTCTGTTTACGAGTGTGCTGTAGTTTTGTCGTCTGCCACTTTATATGCTCAAGCTCTTTAAAGTCAGGATGGATTCTGACTGGCTGCCAATGATTTTATTAATCATCAGCTGAAAAAATTGTTCTGAAAATGATTCCAGTAGCCATCATAAATGGATCAGTACCTGGTCAGCGCACCAATACCAGGTGGCCTGGATAGAAAGACCAAAGACCAGGCCAGGCCAGGGCAGATCGCCGGTGATGGGGTCTCTAAAGATGTGGAATGAGTCTGCACGAGGAGTGTAGCACTCTTCACTGATGTTCACTCCCACCACTGACGGGATCGCAGTCATGTATCGGTCTTTGAAGTTCTCATAGCTTCCCACCTCATTGAACGCTGCAAGAAAATGGTTGATGTTGAAGCAAGTAGTCATTGAGTGTTGTCCAAAGTCACACAAATCACAAAAATGTGAACAGACGTACCAAAACCCATAAGAATGAATGATCCCACAACCATGATGATGGTCTGCAGGGTGTCTGTGTAGATGACTGCAGCTAGACCACCTGTAGAAGAAACCGTGGTTTATCAATAAAAATCAACTGAGAAACTGAAAAGGATGGGAAAATTATGTTCTTAGAAAAATGTACTCTTGGCATTCATGTTGGCTTCATTTAAAAAAAAATGTTTATTACATTGTCAAGAAAGTTTTTCAGTTAAATGATCTCAAAAATGTCATGTGGGGTCACCATCAAGTAAAAAGTAGTAACATTTTCTTTACTTTATTATGTGTGAGTGTATACATCTCAATCATTGTTTTGCAAATTATATATATTAGGGCTGTCAATGTTAACGCATTAACACATGCGATTAATTAAAACATCCCACTGCTGCATGATACGCAAAGTATGTTTTCTTGGCTGGATAAAGCAAACCAGCCTCTCTCTAGCCTCTCTTTTGATGGTTGGGGATAGCAATCAATGTAGAGACAATTGAGGTGACGTGCAGGTGCCGTACAGCAAGCAAGCGTGAGTCCATTCTATTGATGCACAAACAAACTGTGTATGTGCGCTCTTGACACACAGATCATACATTGTATTTATGCATAGACATATTTCAGTACATTCATGTTATTTCCACACACATTCAGGATAGAAAATACAGTTCTGTGAGACCCAATCTTCAAACTTTTGGTTTACTTTGCTGTATAGAAGTTTTAATCTATTGACAGCACTAATATATATATTAAGTATAGTAAGTGTATTTACTTGTCTCATTAGTGTTTAGTGCAGTTGTTGTTGCTAGGAAATGCTTGTTTTGTTTACTGGGTGGAGACGTGCTGATATCACGTTTGGTCTCGTTCTGTATCGCGTATCTTGTCAGTGTCTGCGCTTGCTTGGCCATTTGTTGCGGAGAAAATAAGGAAAGTGTGTCCAGCTGAATGAATTTAGTATTTTGTTAGACGGTATAAAAAAGCTTATAGTAATTACCTATAATTACCGCGTGACGGCCTCCTCGTGTGAAGACCGAAGAGTGTAAAGACCATCGACTCTACCGTGCGACTCCACTGGGCAGGGACACCGGCAAAGGAGAAGTATCGCTTTTTATTTCTCCTCTTTCCTACTACTTGTTTCACTTCTGTTTCAGTTTTTATAACCATTTCTTACTATGTGTAAGTCCTCATTTGTAAGTCGCTTTGGATAAAAGCGTCTGCTAAATGACTAAATAAATAAATAAAAAATAAATAAATATATATATATATATATATCTCAGTGGTGTGTGGTGGTGTTCTGAAATGACGAGGCAAAGTTAGTGTTTTTTTAGTGTTAGTGTTTCTCATCAAGTTAGTGTTTTTAACTTGTTTAACTTGTTTTTAACACTCTATCCTGCACAATTGCCACTCCATTTCCCAGGTTCCCTCTGCCCAGGAACTCATTATCAGTTCACACATGTTTCATATCAGAAGAACTATTTAAGACACACACACACACACACACCCACACACTCACAGTGCGTTCCAAACAGGATATATTGCCCTCTGAAGGGCACCTTGGAGTATTTGGTCCCCTACACCCTTCAACCCTTCGAAGCTCTCACTCCAGAGGGTAAACCCTTTGAAGAGATTAGGGCATAGGGATGAGCCCTTCCGAATGGAACGCAGGGAAACTCACACTCACTCACTCACACATTGCTGGATATTGTTGGCCTGTAATGTCTTCATGTATTCTGGGTTTTCTACAAGCCTTGCCTTGCCTTGCCTTTGTGTGTTTTATCTTGAACCGTTTATCTGTTTTATGATCGTTTGCTGCCTGCCCTGACCTTCACCTGTTTTTGGATTGCCTTGTTTGCTACTGTTTGCTGGTACTGGACCCTGCCTGCCTGACTATGTTTATTATTAAAGCCTGCACTTGCATCCACATCTCCGTTGTCACGCCTCCCTATATAACAGAATATCCAGCCAAAACCTGGATCCAGCAGCTTTATTAAACGACCCAGACCAATCATGGACCCAGTGATCAGATTCGCTCTTCACCCTCAAGGTAATCGGTCCCTCGAGGATCACATTCAGGACTTTTTAAACGTTGTTCATCGCTCTGATTTCCCAGAGTGTGCACTCATAGATTTCTTTTGCCATGGACTTAATGAACCACTATGAACTTAACTAATCTGTCATGGTCTTTTAGGCTCACTATGTCAGTTTTTGGACTATGCTGTTTTGCTATGTGGTTCTCCTTTCACTGTGGGAGAGGCAGAGACTTTCCACAAAATGGCCGCCAGCCCAGAGACTTTTTACAAAATGGCCGCTGTTCCAGAGCCTGCTCACGTCAAGCCTGTCAAGCCAGGGCCTCTTCACAACAAGGCCACCATTCAAGGGCCTGTTCAAGTCAGGGCCACCACGCCAGAGCCTCCAGCCGTTATGAATGTCAAGCCACAGTCTTCAGCCATCACGGATGCCACTCCAGTGTTCCCGAGCATCATGAATGTTGCATTTGAAGACACCAAGGCATTCCAAAGGAGTTTGAGGCTGGTTTCCAGTATGGCAGACCCGCTACACACTTAAGCTTGCTGGTCTCAGCACTCATAGGCCTGCAAACCATGATGATCTCTAGTTTACCAGTCACAGCGCCGTCTGTCTCGGAAATAGACACTGTGCTCTCTGTCCTGCCTGTGAGTGCTACGGTCATTCTATGCATTTGGGCCACACACATCGCCGTAGCTTCCCCAGAGGTGGTATCTTCTGCTGCAGAACCTCCCGAGTCAGCTGTGTCCTCTCCTCATAGGGGACTGGTGCCACTTATGAACTCCTTGTCCAAATGCCCGCTCTTGCGGTCTTTGCACTTGACCACTTGACTACTAATATGACTTATTTCCTGTATTTGGTCCAAGTGTTCAAGTGAGCATGAAGACCACAAGTGTGTGTAGAACTTTTCATTACCTGATGGGACATACTTTATAGTGTTGTAAAAATGCAAGTGTTTACAGAGCTTTATTTTTATTATTTCCAATACTTTTCATTTTAAAATCAACTTCTAAATGTCTGTTCAGAAGTCCCTATAACAGATGACACAATTTAATTGTATGGTGCTTCTAAATAAGTGCATAAAATCAGTTGCAAATGTTGTACAAAAGAATTATCACCACTACTCATTTGCACCGATAAAACGTGCAACTCTTTGTTTTACTACCAAATGATATGTAATCTCTAACTATTATTAATATTTAACATGCAATGGAAAGGTTTCCGTGACCTCTAGCGAGAAGACTCACGATTTATTTCCAGAACATGATGCATGATGGGATACACTAAGCCTTGAATACCGCTCTGGAACGGTATTCGGATAGTGTGGCTTTAGTATGCGTTAAGGGCACTGCGCTTTGGCGTTTTTAAGAACTTGCGCACTTCCTGTCGCATGCACGCACTCTCAAGTGGCCAAGACCGCAAGTGTGGGTATTTGGACAAGGGGGAACTCTTAGTCTGCCCTGTCATGGCCAAGGAGCCCATTCCTGAACTCTCAGTTTGTCCTGTCACGGCCAAGGAGGCTGTCTGCGAATTCTCTGACTGTTCTGTTCTGGCCTTGGAGTCCACCTGTGAACCCTTTGACAGTCCAGTTACAGCCAATGAGGCCGTTTATGAACTCTCTACCTGTCCTGTTACAGCCAAGAAAGCCGTTTATGAACTCTCTGCCTGTTCTGTTTCCAAAAAAGAGGCCGTTCGTGAACCCTCTGGCTGTCCTGTCATGGCCAATGAGGCCATCTGTGAACTCTGCCTGCCTTGTTACGGCCGCAGAGGCCGTTGTTAATCTCTCTGTGCTCTCTATTAGAGACCTGCGCGGGACGGATACTTCAGTCCCTCTCCCGCAAGATTCTGTCCCGGGCCCGCCCGCTCCCGCAGAAAAATATCTTATCTGGGCCCGCTCCCGTCTGCACATTCATCTTTTGTCCCGCTCCCGCCCGCAAAATCCAGCATAAAAGTAATCTATATAGATTTTTTTTCAGCACATCAAAGAAATTTACATTAAAGGGTTCTGTAACATCTCCTAAGATCCACAACATCCCAGCATAAATGCTCCCAATACAATATTTGTCATTTAGGCTAAGCATCAACATTCACAAACCACTGTTATTTTTAACAGAAAAGCAAGCATGGGCTGCTGCGTGCATTGTTTGGCATGGCAAAATGCGAGCAGCGCATGCGAGCAGAATGTTAGCACGCAATTTCAGCACTGCGGCGAGTAGATTCTAACTTAATCACCTCTGGGTTTCTCAATACATTCATGAAATTTACAAAAACATTCCAACATAAATGCTCCTGATAAAATACTTGTTATTAAAGCATCAACATTCACAAACCACTGTTATTTTTAACAGAAAAGCAAGCATGGGCTGCTGCGTGCATTGTTTGGCATGGCAAAATGCGAGCAGCGCATGCGAGCAGAATGTTAGCACGCAATTTCAGCACTGCGGCGAGTAGATTCTAACTTAATCACCTCTGGTTGGCCATTGCGTTCCAGAAATCAACAGCTGAGTCTGTGATTGGCTACATTGCGCAACGCTTTAAACACGTGTTATAAATAGAAACTATGCCTAGCTTGGCATGTTAATCATTTTAATGTTATTAGTTGTTCTTTTTGCTTTTGTGCAACACATAAATAAAAATGTATATGTTTTAGACATTTTATGTTTAGATAATTTCTATTTTCATTTTATTCTCCCGCATTCCGCACACACACACCTTACCGCCCGCACTCCCACGCCGCACCCTGTTGCGTTGGGTCCCGCGGGAGTGCAGGTCTCTACACCCGACCCATTATCTGACAGCAGCACTAATTTAATTCTGTACCAGACGAGAACCTTTTGACATAAAGACCGTGAGTCGTGACCCGAACCGCACTCGCATTAAAATCATTTTATTCTCCCGCATCCCGCACACACACGAGTCTCTTCCCGCCCGCACCCGCACTCGCCCATCATGAGTTGACCCTGTTGCGTTGGGTCCCGCGGTACTCCCGCGGGAGTGCAGGTCTCTACTCTCTATTCCAGTCCCACCTGATCCGGCGTGGTGGTTCCCTGCACCATCAGTTCCACTGAAGTGGTCCTCAGCTCTATCAGCTCCATCCTGGTGGTCATCTGCTCCATCGTGGGGATCTTCGGTCCCGTCTGCTCAGCTGTGGTGGTCATCTGCTCCGCCATGGGAATCTTCGATCCCGTCTGCTCCGCCCTGGTGATCTTCTGGTGATCTTCAGCTCCGCCCTGGCTCCCTGCTCTGCCAGCCCTGTCCGGGCACCCTGCGCCACCTTGGCACCCTTCTTGCCAGCTGGAGTTCCCATAAGCTCCTCTAGAGGACACTCTATCCCGCACTCTATATCTCTAAAGTACTTGATTATGATTTTAACTGTAGTGTGATATTTGATATTACATTTAAAGTTAATATATTTATAAAGTTAATATATTATATTATATATTTAAAGTGTATTAAGTTGCAGCTTCATCATTACTAACTACAAATAAATTTAAATACATGACATTGCAATTGACATCCAATTAAATGTCTAAAAAACTGTTCACATTTAAGCTTTTTTGCACTATATTATATTACTACAGTATATTATTTCCATAAAGATTTTTTAAAATGTATATACTTCTTTATCACAAGGGTGAACTAAACTTGCCTTGTCATAAAATTTAAAATTATCTGATATTTTAAGAGACTTTGACCTTCACCCACTGTAATGAGAGTCTGCAGGGGTCCTCTATGATATCATTTCCTGTTGTGTTTTTTACTGCACATTTTTACACGTTGGTCGCACCACATGCTTTGGATTGGCTGACAAATGTTTTTCATATATTAAGCAGTAATTTTTTTATATATATATATATATATATACAGAGTTTTCTCATGAATAAAAATGAAATATATTATTAAATTACTTTTCTTTCTAAGAATTTATTTATTTTTCTCTACTACAGTATCAGGACAGTTGTATCGCCATGACATTTTTTGACTATATACTCTCTATACATTTTTATTCAGAAATTGTGAAGCAGCATTGTATTAATAATCTTTGGGCCTCTAAAAACCTTAGCAACTGCAGTTTATCAGTCACAGAAGCATACAAACACTCTCAGCCACAGCTGAGCCATTTACTGCTGATAAGATGATTTCTGATTTCTTACAGTTTATTGTTGGTTATCTATCTATCTATATGTCTGTCTGTATATATGTATAAATGGAGAGTGAAATACTGATGTAGAAAATGTAACTATAAAGTATGCAGTATTTCAGTCAACAGACCTGTTACTGTGTAAAGAGCCGTAATGAGCAGCAAAATAACAACAGCCAGGTAAATGTTTAGTCCCAGAGCCTGGTTGATGAAAATGGCTCCAGCATACATGTCCGCCTAAGAGGTGAAAAAAGGAAGAACAAAAAATGAAGGTGAACTGTCCATTTCAAAACAAGGTCCTTATTTTTGAAATCTAAACCCACTTTAGTCTGACTGTATATGGCCACATGGACATCACAGTCTTTTCAAAAGACTGTCAGACTACAACCAGTGTTTAGTGAAGATCTGATTTAAAGAGGGCTGGACAGACAGCAGCATGTTGTGACTGGCAAGTTCAAGCTGACTTTGGAATTAATCACACCTAGTAGACAGATATGGACAAAGATGCTAATTTAAGGGGGAAAAAATATATATTTTTAATGATATAAAAGCATAAAGGAATGCATTTATCTTTTAAGCCTTAAGTAGTTTATTTAAAATGTGTGTTCTTGATGTGTCATAATTTAAAAAACAAGTACAAATATTCCACATAGTCTCTCATAATTGATTAAAAAGCTGCTTTCAAAATGATTATAATGAATGTTTTGTCTTAAAAAAATCTAATTTTCTGATATTTTAAGAGACTTGTAGCATTATTGACAAACTATTTTCCTGTCTGACACTGTAAAACTGCTTTGACACAATCAGCATTGTATAAAGCACTATATAAATAAAAGTGATTTGACTTGACTTGACTTGCTGACCTTCAATCACAGCCATGACTGGTTTGGCAGAGATTGCAAGATTATGCCAAATTACTTAATAAGGTTTTCTTTTCAAGAATTTCATTCTTTTTCTGCATAGCGATATCAGTGCAATTGTATCACAACAATACTTTTTACTTTATACTCACATTTAAAAATGTCTAAATTAATTTTAATTCATATATATTTATTTTATTTTTTTAAAGCTGCATTCATAATAATTATAAATGAATTATCAAAGTGCTGGTTAAAATTATTTTCAATTGAGTGTAGCATGTTACACCGCTGACTGTGTCAAAGTATCCCAACAGTATTGCATGTCAACTACCTCTCAAAGTACCATGATATTTCTATTTGGAGATTTTGGACTCACAGAGATTTTGGTGAAAACGTACAGAAACAGGGAGAGCACGGACAGGTAGATCCGGATCCGCTGCCCACCAAAGCGTTTCTTCAGAAACTCTGGCATGGTCACGACCTGCAGATAAAGAGAATAGAGGGTCATAAAAATGATACCGCATAGATAAAGTGGTCGACACATTCATGTTGTGTAAGTCAGCAATATTTGAAAGGTTTGTTCTGCAATGCCGGTTGGGGAGGAAGAAATGTAGGCATACCCCAGCCTTTATGTAGATGGGCACGAAGAGCCATCCCAGAACAATCACAAGAACAAGAGCCTGAGGAAAATATTAAAAAGAGACCATCGGTTTGATATTTTCTACACATATTCTCATCAGTGTTGTTACTGTTATTGTTGACTAAATTTAAAGCTACTAAAAAAAAACTGTTGTTGAAACTGGAATCAAATAAAATTTAAGATGAAAAATGTGAACTTAAGAAACAGAAAATTAGAAATGTTGCCTTTGGCACCTAACTGAAATAAAATAAGTTGTTGAAGTGCTTAATGACTAAAACTAAAAAAAAAATAAAGCTAAATTGAAATATAAAAAAAAACAAGAAACTATGAAAAATAAAATACAAAATATTAATAAATACTATAATACATAAATAATACTAAACTAACACTGATTGCACTGATTAATTCGTTTTTTAATAATACTTTACTTTAAAATCACAATACTTACAGAATATTATTTTTCTTTTGTAATGATCTACAGGCATAAAATGTTGCCACATGCCAAAATTATTAAACATCATAAATGTCTTTTTTATGCTTTTTTGACATACATTCCACTCAAACCCCCCGATAGCAATACCAGCAGCCGCTCCAGTTCCTGCTATTCCCACAAAATGCACACTTCCGATGTTACTTGCAAAGAGAGAGGCTCCAATCTGGGGGGGAAAAAAAAAAGCAATCATATTAATATATGCTTCATGTTATATTCACTAATATACACACATTTGATATTCATAGGAAGGTTTACTCCTGTATTGTATTGTCCTTGTGTGAGTGTACGGTCTTGAGTGTTCTTGAGCCGTGTGCTCTCTTGTCTGCGGGCCTTGTTTTATGTTTGGAGTGTGGTGTTTGGATTCCCGCACTCATGTCTGGTTCGGTTTCGGTCTAGTGTCGGTGTTCAAACACTCATGCTCCATGGCTTGTTTCTCGTGTGAGTGCACGTATTGTGTGTTCATTCATTCACCATGCGCTCTTGTCTCGTGTGTTTTGTGAGTGCTTGTTTTCACTGGCTCGTGTCATTTTGTTCTGTTTATCACGCTGTTTACATTGGCCATGTGCTTTCATGTTATGTTCTGTCTTGTGTTGTGTTGTGTAGCGCACGGCTCGGGTTTTCCTCGGACGTGTTCTTTCATGTTGTCATGTTTTGTGTGAACACGCTGCTAATAAGTTTTCTCGTTAGCTGCAAGTTCATGTCTTGTTTTGTGTGAGCACATGGCTTTGTTTTGTTTGTTTCTATGTGCCATGTGCTCTCCTGTCTATTAACCCTGCCCTTCTCGTTGCCTGATTATTGGTTCATTTGCCCCACCTGTCCTTCCTTGTTACCTGCCTTGTTTGCTCCATATTTATTCTCCTTGTGTTTGCAGTCCTGTGTTAGTTTGTTTGCTGCGTCTGAAGGCCTAGGCAGCTGACTTGCTACCTTGCTGCCCTATAAGGCAATGACTTTGCACACAGTGTTTTTGCTCAAAGGCACCTCATGAAACTGATTTCGGACAGGCTTCGGAGGCAGCGTAATAGTTTAATGATCTACAACAAAATAGAATGAGTTTCCCTTGCGAAAATTAACCATGGTTTTACTACAGTAAAAGTGTAGCAACCATGTTTTTTTGGCGTATTGATTACCATTTATATCACTACAATTTTACTCCAAATACCATGGTTAGTGTAGCAAAACCATGGTTAATTTGTGGTTACCATGGTTTAACAATAGTAACCATGGTTTTATGATTACCATGATTAATGATTAATTTTTGTAAGGGTTGGTGATAACTAAGCGAATATTTAATTACTATAATACTGGTTTCTCACTAGAACTAACATCAAAAGTGCAAAAAGTTAGTCAGAAATATACACTTACACAAAAACTGACCACCAAATGTAACTTTCAGATGCCATCTATATTTTTTTAGCTCAACCGGAATGGAACGCACAGGCTTGTGGGATATAAAAGGCAGCGAAGGATACATCTATGCTGCTTTCTAAAATCGAGGAAGCCTATCTCATGAGACAGGAATTGAAGCTAACTTTGGATTCGGACGTGCCTTGATGCCTTCCTACCTTGGAATGCGTCCTCCGAAGGCAGCATTTTAGAGCTTTCAGACGCAGTCGTCAACTAATGTCTAATGGTTGAGGGGAATGTTGCGACAGGTAGGACTCATTTACGTCATTATTACTAGCAAATGTGTGTCACATTACTATTTAATAAAAGATATGTAATAATGTGCATTGTCTAAAAATATAGATGTTTTCTTTTTTGGTTTTCAGGTTTTACCTGAAATTAGACTTGATGACTATTAAGTGACCTGCCTTATGTTGAAATAATGCACTTTTAGTGAATAAAGGACATGAGTTATTTAAATTATTGTATTTTGTATGTTTAATGAAAATAAAATGTTTGCTTTTTTGCTTCCAAGTTTCAATAAATAGACTTGAAATGTAATGACTTGTAACTGCTGTGTATGATATAATGCTTTTTAATGAATAAAGGTAAAAAAAAAATAATTTAATAAATAAAAAGGTATTCTTTCTATGGCTTCAATTTCAACAAATTAATTTTTTTACTGACTAGTATCGATGTTATGTATGCCCAATCATGCTGGGTTTTTCAAATGAACAGAATAAAACCTAATCTTAAATTGTAGTGAAAGCTCTATAGTAGCCTACTTAACAGAGATTTAATTTAGACGCACGTCAGAACTGGTAAACGAAAGGTCAGACGCGATTGATGCGCAAGAACCAATCAGATTTTGTAACACGTTTTACGCAAGCAATACAAATAAATTACATTTTTAGCCTGAGCTTTGACGAAAGCCAATGAGGTTTGTTTCAACATATCACGCGGTAGATTGAGCTTGTATAAATAACAAATATAGCCGCAAGCAGCGATTACCAGGGTTCAAGTGCTTTAAGGCCTTTATGGCTTCTATGTTGTTAGGGTCTAGGCCAAAGTGAACTGTATGGCTGACACCAGAACATCATGATGGAGAATTCAATCACACCAATGAAAGGGTTAAACTATATTACTTAATAGATACAGTATTAATACACACTAAGCATGCTCACACACAAATAACTGATTGTAAGTCTGCTGTTTATGACACCATTTTTCAGGTTTAATCATAATGTGGCATAATTGTAAAAACTGATATGTCTTTATAAATGCATTGGTAAACTTTTACTAAATGTGTTTAAATGTTATAACAGTGGTTTTATAATGTCTAAATATAAATCCAAAAGTAAAACCTGAGAAAATAACTATATTAGGGAGTAGAATGAGCCAATGAGTCATCCTTTTCTGCCATCTAGTGATTATAATTGCATTTTCAGGGAATTTACTATAGAGACAGTGACACGCATCATAATCTGAAAACCACGGCCACCGGGGGGTAAAACAATCCAACGCTCTCCACTGACTTTGTATTGCGGGAAGCTGCCTCCTTTTCATTTCTGACTTATAACAAAAAACAGAACAATGCCTAAAAGCTGCTATGTGACAAGGTGTACAGTAAACAAGCTAAAAAAAAACAGAACTATGTTTTTATAAGCTGTCGACCCAAAACAACGAGCAATTAAGGACACAAAAGTAGTGCGCAACGTGTCATATTACTCTGAGAACTACGCCCACTGAAGGGAAACATAATCGGCGACAGGAAACATTCATCATTTTTAATGAAAAAATGTAGCTTACAGAAATATAATATATAAAACTGACATTTGGATATTTGACTTACCAGTGACAAAATGTTTACTGCACACGTAGGCATACTGAGTGTCAGGATCCCACAATTTACCCATTCTTCCTGCTGATGCTTCATGTCTTATTGCCTGAATCCACTTTTGTCTCCTTTAAGGCTGGCTTTCATGGTTCGGTAGCTTATAAAAACTTAGTTCTGTTTTTTTTTTTTTTTAGTTTGTTTACTGTACACCTTTTAGGCATGGTTCTGCTTTTTGTAATAAGTCAGAAATGACAAGGAGGCAGCTTTCTGCAATACAAAGTCAATGGAGAGGGTTTGATTGTTTTCCCCCTGTGTGGGCGTGGCCTAAATGCGCTTTGTCTCTATAGAAATAGTGTTTTTAACCTCCAGTCTCCATAAAATTTTGCATGCTTGTTTAGAATAATATGATGCATGACTTTACGCAGTTTTGTGAAGTTTTGAGTTTTCTTAAAGGATTCATAGGCTTTTGGGTACACTATCAAGACCGTATTATTAAATGGCCCTGTTATAACTGTCTAAATCCAAAGGTTCAATTTATTTATTTTTTTGATAATTACCAAGTGAGTCCAGAGAATTATACTGCTCAATATACATTTTATTGATTTTGAGTTAAAAACCTAGGACTATAAAACAATCTCCATAAAACTTGCAAGCTTGTTTAGAATCCGTCACACATGTTCAGTTTTGTTTAGTTTTGATTTTCGTTTAGGATTTATAGGCTTTTGGGTAAATTTGGACACGCCCCTTTTCTAAATGATCCTGTTATATCTACCCAAAGAGAAAAATTCAATTTTTTTTAAAATAATTATTGATAGTCCAGAGAATTGTACTGCAGTGGTTTTATTGAGGTTGAGCGAAAAACCTAAAACTAGTTCACACAAATCGAGAATATTTAACGAAATTATATGAATATTGTGTGGATGTGTGAAAGACCACATGATTACAGAAGCATAAAACTTGTTAGTGCTAGTGGCCGATTTCTTTCAAAATTTTTACAGACCCTAGAGCCATGAGTCGAACATGCCCACCGAGTTTCGTTCCGACCGGCCTCCGTTAACCTTGTCTAAAAGGTGCTCAAAATTCATTGGCTGATAACGGCCATGTTTTTTGAGATATGCAGATGCCCTCGTACACAGACATGGCACCTTGGACAAAGACACGGCATACAAATTTTCAAGTCAATCGGACTAATCGGTGCGTAGTTATAGCGTTTTTTTTGTACTGACCTCAAATTGAGCTCTTACATAAGTGTTCCCAGTTTGGCAAAAATATCTCTTTCCATTCAACAGTTATAGGTGTTTTAGTTAAAGCAGTTCCACCCCTTAGGAATGTTTTGGTATCCGGTCGCGACGGTGAGTCAAAAGTTCAACTTTTTTGATAATTGTTATTCACTCTCCAGAGAATCTTTCTGCACTGGTTTGGTTCCGATCTGCTAAAAAATCTAGGACTAGTTTCCAAAAGTAGGTTTTTCAACAAATCCAAAAAACCCGAAAGGGTGATGACGGAATCCGATGCGATTTGTCCGTTGTGAGCCAAGGCTTCCAACTATATGACACTTGAGCCTGTGACTAACAATTTAGGAGCGATTTTGTACTTTTGATCGCTGGTGACGTTGTAGACGGTGTGAGTACTACCATCCCTCCAAGTTTCGAGCCTCTACAATTTATGGTTTGGTCCGCCCGGTCACTTTTAGGTGGAGAATGCTGATCCTTGGCCTTTCTAACAATTACAGTAGGGTTTCAGCACTAAGCGCTTAACCCCTATAAGGGTATCATAATAATTTTGAAAAATAATTTATGATGCTCTTCAAATGATGCGATGTTGAAACGCTTTTGGAAAGTAAAGTTAAATAGTAGCTTATTAGAATGATTGTACTATGTATTTAAAAGTTAAGTAAATGTGTATTTTATTTAAATGGTATTATAAAAGAGCCTTTTAAGTATTCTTTTACGAGTACAAAAAGTAAAACAGAACAACACTGATTTTAGGCATGCTTATTACTAAAGCATAGTTGAAAAAATTATATTTCTAATACATAAGCTGGTACAATGTAAGAATGCACTTGCATATTTTATAGCTGTAATGTACAATGTGTGAGTGAATTAATATACTTTATACAATATATTAAAATGTTAATGTTTTTTTAAGATATCTTACTTTTGAAAAGCAGGCTAAAGTACGTTCATTACATAAATACATACTTTAAACCTAAAAATGTTCTTACACAAAGTAAACTTAAATATTATTTAAATAAGAGTAAAATAAGTATGTTTTCTGTAAATACACTAAAATGTCATAAAAAGCAAATTTTTAATACATTTGAGTACTTATTTTTCACCTGGGTATTAACTCTGTCTATTGTTTGACTATATGTGGCAATACAATCACCATAATGATAAGCTATAAGAACTGCTTCTTCTGCACAGCCTGAGGTGTAATTCAAACAATAACGATTGGAACAATAAACTTTGTAACAACAAATAAAAACCTTAAAAATTTGATATAAGGTGATAACTTTAGCATTGACCAAAGTTTGACAGCTCCATAAAAACTGCATGAGCAAAGCATATCAGTATTTTCAGCTGTAATGCATAGTGAGACGCATCTGGCATCAGTGCATAATGGCCTCATAAAAGTTATCATTCATGATATCATATCATATTCATATCTTCATATCATATTGATATCATGATATCAAGGTTCTGAAACGGAGGGGCAGTTAGGGTCATTATCATGCCATATCTGTGATCATGTGAAATCACTGGTCATGCTATTGATAGATACATAATCAGCACAGATACAAATGCGTGGCACATTATGACAAAAATTCGCCACATTTGGCACACTGATTGATCACTATTGATGTATTGTTTGATGTATTGATATGATCATGACATATCGTCTATGTCCATCACATTCTGAGTGCTAAGGTTTAAAGCACGATTATCCTCCATCTTGATCCCATTTACTTACTGGCCACCACACCATACTTCTGCCAGCCAGGAAAAAGCCTCCCACTGTGGCTCGATTGGTCCGTACCATTGCCTTTGGACAGAAAGAGTCATTCAATTCAGCATATATACAGTTCTAGATTCTTAAAATATTAGACAAAATTGTATGTGACTTTATGTATGACGTCATAGCTGCAGGATCAGACTAGTTTAAGAATAACATTGGTGGACTCAAAGGTTGATGGATTGGTGTTCAATGTCTTTGTTTGTTGTTTGATTAAATAATGTTTGAATTTTCTCAAGAGGTTTTAAAATGATACGGATTTCGGATGTGCAAATACAAGAAGAAAAATATGGTGTTATCAAGAAATCCCAGAAATGTCAACGCCCTCAATAAGATTAATTTGTAAATAATTTAGTAAAATCATTTCTAAAAATGTGTACATTTCTAAAAAATTATTTTTAGTTTTAAACAGATAGAAGTATGATTAATAGTTCATTCGCATATGAAGAATTATTAAAAAACATAATAATAATAACATTATTAGAGCAATTAATTCATTTTTCTAAAGGATTTTAGCTTTTTGGATTATATTACAATGTATTATAACTTTCTGCAAAATCAGTTACCATCAACATTCTGTCTTCAGACTTATCTTATACAGCCATTTATATGTACATTACATTTATATTTTGATGAAAAGTTAATAATTCACAAGTCTGTCAATGGTAGAAATATCTTTTACAGAAACTATTGACCACTTACCCATATTCCCACAACTAGAACCACCAGAAAATATATAACAATCACTGAGATGTCCGCTGGATTGTTAATATATATGGTGATGTTTTTTCTGTTCTCATTGCGTATCCAAGAGAATCCAAAATAATCTTCACCCATTTTGCTGATGTTTGAAGGGCCAGTGGAGCAGCACACTGCATCCCTCTCTGACACAACAGTAAAGACACCTAGATCACACGCTCACCTGCAGGTGTATGAATGTATATGCGTATGTGCACACATTCACTTATATGTGTGTGTCTAGAGATAGGTGCGACCTTCTCAGAGTTAATTATAAAAGTGTGTTTGTGATTTAGAGTTGTCAAAAATCTGAGATTGAGAATCCTTAATGATTAACTTGTATGGCAGGTGTATAGCAAATGTGAGACTGGTAGGGAGTCAATTATGTAAAAGTAAAGATCCAATACTGCAATCTATGGTGCAGACATTAGTGTATATACAGTATACAACATTGGTTATGTTATGTTAAGGACACCCTGAGGTGCTTTGTGGCATTACAGCTTCAAGACAAAAGAAAGTAAAAATGGCTAATGAAACATCAAATGACAACCATTACAAATTTAGCATTTAAGCTTCCTACACTACAGATGGTGTAATTAATGGATATGAATCACCGCATGGATATGAAAGGTCCATTGTCTATTAGCAATGAATGAAGCACATGTTACACAGATGTCAAACCAAGCAGATCTCTGTTGGCCAACAAGGCAAATTTGCTTAAAAAATGTTGACCCCAATGCAAAATCTGCATTGTAAAATTCTTCACCATTTTGCAAAATTACAAATCGTGCAGATTCCCATCGAAATGACCGGATTTTGCCTACAAGACCAATGGTAAATATGACCGCACCATAACTGGCTAATCGCACTACTAACTGCTGTTCTCTTTCAGTCGGTCACTTCGATGTTGTGTCGAAGTTGACACTAGGGGTCGCTCTCAGGAGCTCAGACACCTCTAACATCATTGAGAAAAGGCCAATGAAATTGACAAGCAAAATTGGCATCTCATCGTCATTGGATATATGGCACAGGCAGTGGTCTCTTCCTTCCCCACACACAGCTAAGTGTTGTGAGAGTACCCCTGGGTGCTTCAATGCCGTATATTGAGAACAAATTTCCTCCTAAAAGTGTAAATTCTCTGAAAGATCTTAATGGGTCGAATCATGTGTTTACATCATGACTTTCCATCCGTGCCCTTCTGGTTGCGGTTTCTACATCTCTCCTAATGACCAGCACGATCGCTGCATTCAGTGCTTGGACCGTACTCGTGCTGAAGCTGCCCTCGTGGATGGTTCATGTTCTGTTTGAGTGCAATTTCTCATTCGGGTCTCGTGAAAAGGATGAGCTGTCGATCGCCACATCAGACGGCAGGCTAGAACCAACCGAAGTTGATGACTCGACAGAACCGGCGCCCTCGGGTACCGAGTTTCAATCTGAGGTAGAGACCTGCACTCCCGCAGGACCCAACGCAACAGGGTGCGGCGCGGGACAACTCTTGATGGGCGAGTGCGGGTGCGGGCGGGAAGAGGCTCGTGTGTGTGCGGGATGCAGGAGAATAAAATTATTCACGGGACTCCCGCAAAATAGAAATGATCTAAACATAAAATGTCTAAAACATATAAATTGTTATTTATGTGTTACACAAAAGCAAAAAGAACAACTAATAACATTAAAATTATTAACTATTATATATATATATTATATATAATTATTATTAAATTATTATTTATAACACGTGTTTAAAGGGTTACGCAATGTAGCCAATCACAGACTCAGCTGTTGATTTCTGGAACGCAATGGCCAACCAGAGGTGATTAAGTTAGAATCCACTCACCGCAGTGTTGAAATTGCGTGCTCACGAATAGTCTCATTTTAACACACGAAGTGTAGACATTGTGAAATATTCATTGTGCAATGTGCATATGTTCATTGTGTTATAACAGAGCTTTATGAGATCACGATGAACTGAGATGTCAGCTTTTAGTGATAATAAAGGAAGCGTTGCTCGCATTCTGCCATGCCAAACCATGCACGCAGCAGCCCATGCTTGCTTTTCTGTTAAAAATAACAGTGGTTTGTGAATGTTGATGCTTAGCCTAAATAACAAATATTTTATCTGGAGCATTTATGCTGGGATGTTGTGGATCTTAGGAGATGTTACAGAACCATTTAATGTACATTTCTTTGATGTGCTGAAAAAAATCTATATAGAATACTTTTATGCTGGCTTTTGCGGGCAGGAGCGGGACAAAACATTACTGTCGCGGGCGGGAGCGGGCCCAGATAAGATATTTTTCTGCGGGAGCAGGCAGATGCGGGAAAGAATTTTGCGGGAGTGGGACTGAAAAATCCATCCCGCGCAGGTCTCTAGCCTGAGGCAGATGCTAAGATGGCGGCCGTGCTTGGCCGGGCAGCCAAGAGCATGGGGCTCGAGTGGACGACTCCACCCTGTCCTGAATGCTCTCGGCTGGATGACTGGTTTCTAAGCTACGCCCAGCCCCAGTTCCTTTCTTTCCGGAGGTGCATGAAGGTGCCTCATGGCCAGAACACAATATACCACATGGCAGACAGCCACCAAATAGTCATTAAAAGAGCTATTTCCTTCCCTGGGACACACTCACACACCCCGTGCTCTGCCGGGTGTGTAGACAAGGCACTCTGCACCCTGAAGGACGATATGCCCTCTGCCACTGTGCCTTTTGCTCCACAAAGCCACAGGAACCCACCCCAGGTAGGTCGAACGTAGATCCACTGAGACCATTGGCAAGGTGTCTGGATGCTTGGTTGAAGTTCCCCAGCACTTCTCGGTGGCTTCTCAGAACTGTTCGGCTCGGCTATGCAATTCAGTTTGCCAGGCGTCCGCCGAAGTTCAGTGGCATTCTGTTGACCTCAGTACGAGGCGAGAATGCTGCTGTTCTTAGAGCGGAAGTCACAAGAGTCAAGAGATGAAGAAAGGGTTTTACAGCCCCTACTTCATTGTACCCAAGAAGGGTGGGGGGCTCAGACCAATCTTGGACCTGAGGGTGCTGAACCGGGCCCTTCAAAAGCTCCAGTTCAGAATGCTGACCTTCAAGCACGTTAACATGTGTAAAGGACTGAGATTAGTTTGCAGCAATAGACCTGAAGGACGCGTACTTTCATGTCTCGATCCTTCCAAGGCACAGGCTGTCTCTTCAGTTTGCCTTCGAAGGGCAGGCATATCAGTACAAGGTTCTTCCCTTAGGGCTGTCCCTGTCTCCTCGAATACTTTCAGAGGCTCCTAGGGCATATAGCATTCTCATCCGCGGTTACGCCGTTGGGACTGATACATATGAGACCGCTTCAGCACTGGCTTCATACCTGAATCCCAAGATGGGCATGGCACCGAGGCACACATCATGTGAGCATCACAACAGAGTGTCACCGCACTTTCAGCCCTTGGAAGGACATCTTGTTTCTACGAGCAGGGGAGCCCTTAGAGCAGGTGTCCAGATGCATTGTTGTCACAACAGATGCTTCCAAGATGGGCTGGGGTGCTGTATGCAACGGTTGTGCAGCCTCCGGGGTCTGGACGGGCCCTCGGCTGCATTGGCATTTCAATTGCCTGGAAATGTTGACAGTGCTTCTGGCCTTGAGGAGGTTTCGACCATTGATCCAAGGCAAGCACCTGCTTGTCCAGACACACATTCCGGGTGACCTCAATTGTGCAGTGTGGAGGCTTCACCCCAGACAGTTCAGCTGATTTGGAGTCGATTCAGTCAGCGCAGATAGACCTCTTTGCCTCGCCAGAATCCACCCATTGCCCACTGAGATATTTCCTTTACCGAGGCCCCCCTCGGCACGGACGCACTGGTGCACAGCTGGCCCAGGGAATTACGCAAGTATGTGTTTCCCCTGGGGAGCCTCATTGCACAGACTCTGTGCAAAGTCAGGGAAGACAAGGACCAAATCTTGTTGGTGGCACCATATTGGCCCAACAATTCTCGGAGCTTGTGCTGTTGGCTTCAGCTCCTCCTTGGCAATTTCTCCTGAGGAGGGACCTTCTCTCCCAGGGGAAGGGCACAATCTGACACCAGTACCCAGATCTCCGGAACCTCCATGAAATGGCGCATTTTTGTGAATTGATGTTCTTCCTATGGGAAGGATCCTTGGAGATGTGGCATCGGATCTGTGCTCTCCTTCCTCCAAGAGGGCCTGGACAGGCACTTGTCTGCTTCTACACTCAAGGTGTATGTGGCTGCAATTGCAGCAGACCACAACACTGTATATGGCAGATCAGTGGGGAAACACGATCTGGTTATCATATTCCAAAAATAAGATGAGTCCAGTTCAGTTCCTTTTTATGAACCATGGACTACTCTTTCATCACTCAAAGCACTCTAACATGGCTGAGTTCAGCGGAGGAACGTGCTACAAGAATCCATTACAGGGAAATATCCCTCAAGTGAATGGATCTTGTAATGGATTAGTGCCCCATATGCTGTGGCTCCCTCTGGTGGACCCATATGTATATTAGTCCACTGCCCTGTTCCGTAAGGATTCAGTGTTTCCCCTAGAAAGACAGTCAATATTTTGCTTGTTTCTGTGTTTGGTAGCTCTCCCCTTATGTGGGGCCCACCATAGAAATCTTCCCTATGAAGTACTTCCTTTCAGTAAGTCCTTGGGTTGTTCTCCACATGTTACCTCCCCTTCGGGTAGGATGTGGTCTCTGTAGTGTCCTTTCCCCGCTCGGGAAACAGATGCTTTCACAACATTAACCACCAGAACTTTTGAACCGTTACTTATTCCTACTTTCTCAGAGTGAGAAAAGGCTCCAGCTGAGGTGACCTCTGCCTTATATGGTGCCCCCATGGACTCGTAACGCAGTTCAGTAGCTGTGGCGTTTAGTATAGGGACCGCTAGTGTCACCTTTGACACAACGTTGAAGTGACCGACTGAAAGGAAATGTCTCGGGTAGGGATGAAGCGATTACTGGTTTGACGATAAATCATGATAAAATTCCCTACAGTTAGTATTACCGTTCTGTCTTCAGAAAAGATTTGATGGCATTTTGTTTTCATCTTCGCTCCATGTAATACCTAATAAAGTAGTGTTCTTAATTGCGATGCTGCTTTGTCCAT